CGCTTCTGGTAGTTGCTCGAGCACTGCAGATGCAAAGTAGCCGGAGACTTCTCGTAAAACGCTATGCCAAAGATTTGCCCCAATCCTTCAAACTGCCTTAAACCCCAAACCAACCATAAATCTAAACCTGCAACAAACGACACCGAGTAAATTATTCGTGTTTCCTGGGCTGCAGACTCTATGTAGAGGCACAAAAAACTGTTCAAACCTGTTAAAATCTGTCAATGGAGGCATACATACATGAGTTTACTCAACTTCTCATGCGCAGAACTAGATATTGCTTTAACTTTAGCATGCCTTAGCCATTTATTCACACAACACACACAGAGCCACGCACCCACACACCCCCACGCACATAAACGGACGGACGGACGGACGGACGGACGGACGGACGGGCGGAGACACACACACACACAGAGACCTACCCACCCACCCACCCACCCACCCACCGACCGACCTACCTACCTACCTACCTACCTGCCTACCTACCTACCTACCTACCTACCTACCTACCTACCTACCTACATACATACATACATGCATACATGCATACCTACACACACACACACAGCTACACCTTGCTTCCAGCAAGATGGTTGCAACAACTAAGTCCGAGCCGTCTCGCTAGCTGCGAAGTGCGTCTGGAATCTTCTTATGACTGAAGCAGGCGAAACCCTGCGAACCATACGCGCGAACCTTCCCGATCCCGTGGACCTGCCTGCCCTCCGACAGGTTCTTGATGCCAGCGGCCACCCCGGCCGCACCAGCCCCAGCCGCCGCGAACTTCCCTGCCGCCGCAACCTTGGCAGCAGCCGCGGCTGCGGCCACCACAGGGCCCACAGCATGGACCCGGGTGCGGCGGCTGCGTTGCTGGCGATGGAGGTATCGGGCCAGAACGGCGGCTGATCCGGTAAGGGCCAGTGCGCTGGTATGGCTTTGGCTGGCCCGGCTGCCCTGGGACTGGTTGGGGAGGGAGAGCTCCGCCTGTCTCAGCGCACTGCGCACTTTGGGCGCGATGGTATGGTGCGAGACGGTGAAGCAAGCCGACGGATCCATGCTGTCCACCGGGACTATCCTCGCTTCTCGGGTTAAATAAAAGCTGCTGTGGGCCAGAACGTCGGAGACATCACAGACGAGACCCATGCCCAAACAAGGATTGCCGAGAGAACTTTTTCCAATTTTCCTGGCAACTATGGTATCGATAACAGGATGGAGCGCCATTGGAGGCGCGGTTCAGAAACACTGAGAATAAGGTCACACAAGCTTGAAGTGCAGGTGTTGCTGCCTAAACCCTAGATTCCTAAACCCCTAAAGCCCTGTCATTCACGAATGCATAGTCTCTCTGGCTCCTGTAGCAACCAATCCCCAGCAAAGCTCACGCGTCAAAACCCTAAAGCCCAAACCCTCAATCCGAAACCCTGAACCCCTAAACCCTAAACTCGAAGCCGTATTATGTTTGAGGAACTTAGGTATCTCCCTTGCCGGTGCAACACCTGACGCACAAGAAGGGTCGTCGCCAAGGTTTCAGGTACCAATATAGTAGGATCGTATCATATATGGGTAGTTCTCTAAGTTAAGGTCCCTTTTAGGGCCCTTTTTAGAAGAGTGCCGTGCTATGTTGGGGACCTAAACAGGGATAATTTAGAGAACTACCCATATTTGGGCCCACAGAGTATAACCTAAAACCTAAACCCCCTAAACCCTAAACCAGACTCTACTGCTACTTGGATCCTTTGGTACGGAGAATCCCACATCCTGTCGCCACTTCTGTAATGGTACCTTAGGGTCTTGGGGTATATTTTGCCATTACCTGTGGCTCAACAGACCTACCTTCTCTTCAAGGGGCTTTATATATAGAAAACCATAGTAAGGAACCATAAAGAAGTAGGTCTCTTCGCCTGCAAGTATACCTATAAGGCATCCCAATATAGTATTGGCAATTATTTGAGCTCCTGCATTAGACGCTCTCAATCACATTCTGGGGAAAACCCCAGGCGGAAGCTCAGTTCAAAGGGTCCTAAGAACCTATATGGGAGATACTTACCCAACACGTACTAGCAGATCCTACTGTAGAAACCATACTTTCTGCCATTTAAGTACTTAGGACCCTTTGGGTAGTTTTCCTGATTTAGGTTTGGGGTTTGGGGCTTAGGAATATAGGCTACATGGTTAGAGGGCTGCAGGGGTTTTAGGGGTATAGACCAGAACTTCGAAAAATCGAGTGCAGCTCAAAACGGCTATCACCGGCTCAAGAATTCTTTGACCTTTAACTTGAGTCCCAAACACAGACTCTAAATGTTCGCATGCGGATGTAAGGCTCCAGCACCAGGTCACGAATCGCCGAGTCCCTCTGGCTCATGTGAGTTGTCCGGAGAAGCTAGAACGGCTAGAACTAAGACGGCGGTAGATCCAACTTGCCGCAACAATGCTACTCAGATGCCGAAAAGCCAAACGCTGGTTGCTGCGTTCCACCGAACTTGCACTGACCAAGTCATGGCGAAATCTATGCAGTCAAACAGAGCGAACACGTGGGTGGTGGAGGTGGTGTCGTTGGTGGCATGGCTGGTTGTGTTGTAGGTGTCATGTTCGTTGGATAATTAGAGTGACTCCGGTGGTTATCATAACGAACAACACCATGTTGATCAGATCCGGAGGATGGCCATGGTGCTAAACTACAACTCCCGGATGCCAGTTGAGCATGAATGTGAAGGTGATGACGATGACGCTAGGCAAACATGAACATGATGATGATGATCATCATCATCATGATGACGGCGATGATGGTGAAAATGATGATGGCGACGATGATGACGATGATGGTGGTGGTGATGGAGCATTTCCGTATTACAGATAGTACTGTAATATGCTCCCAAATCCTAACTGTGAAGGTTGACATAGTCAGCAACATCATCACCAGCAGCATCATCATCATCATCATCACCACCACCGCCACCAGCAGCAACAACATCATCACCATCAACATCATCTCAAGGATATGGTGGGGACTCAGCTGCTACGTTTTGGCTGCGTGCAACCGCTCGGGTCTCTGTAGGCATGTTTCGTTCCGTGCAGACTCATGGCTGCAGATTCAAACGGTTGGCGCTGTCAGCGCCTGAAGGTCAGACGGAAGTCGGCCGCGCTTCGTTCTTCGTGGATCAAAATCGCACTTCAGAGCCGTCAGGCTTGTTGTGAAGCAACAGCGGCCATTGACCCTCATGCACCCTGCTTGAAGAATAATTATGGGACTTAGTAGGTAGGAATATACACCAGGTAACTATACTTATAAATACTTCTAGCCCCAATTGAGGTGCTTACAGCCTTACTTACTGAATCCCCTTACATACCTCCCCTGCGATAGCCCATGCCTGGCCGGCAGTGTAGCTTCGTGGAAGAGCTCGGGAAGAGCCTCGCAGCTTCAGGCTACCGCAACCCTAAATAACCGGCCTTTCTGAGTTCGCTATATCTTCACCCTAAATTGCCTACCTTTCACGCTTTGGGGTTTAGGGTTTGAAAGGTCTTATGTAAGGTTTAGGGTTTGAAAGGTCTTATGTAAGTTATATGAGGAATCATCATAAGGAACCCTAAAACGGCAGGTTCTTTCGGGTCCAGGTAGGGGTGAAGGCCTTGAGAAGCTTTGGTTTGTGAAATATCATCACGGAAGATCAACGATCCAGTCACTGTGAACACAGCGTGGTGGGGATACAAGTGCACGCGCAGACATGTAAGTTACTGAGTACTGCAAACGGGTAGTTCTCCAAGTTAGCGTCCCTTTTAAGGTCCCAAGTTTCGTACGGCACCCTTATAAAAGGACTCCAAAAGGGACCCTAATTTAGAGAACTACCCATAATATGAGGATGACAGATAGAAGGCAAAGTGGGGATATGAGTCCGAGCGACAGACATGAGCGTCGCCATGAGCTAATGAACGAAAATATCAACCTTGTGTGGGACATGTGGGAGGTCGACGAGGTTAACGATACAATTCCAGATCTGGTCATGGTGACAGTCGCGAACACCAGGAAAATCAGTTGCTTCATCATTGATTGGCTGACTTCTGAACCCCTCCTAAAAGTTAAACTTTTAGCCTTCTTATTATAGTTCATATGGGTAGTTGTCACAATTATGGTCCCTGTGCCGTAATATAATAAGGACCCAAAAAGGGACCATAATTTTGACAACCACCCATATAGAAACCTAAAAAGCTGAAGTCCTTAGAGCCCACCAGAAGAACACCAAGATCACCAACTTTAGCTACTCAGCTGTTACATGCTCGTCTTGGTTGTCATCAGCATCAGCAGCAGCACCCCGCCACCCCCACTCCTCGCCATCCTCTTCGTGTCTACCGCCATCCTCATCACCTTTCCTTGTCGGTGACACAAATCTCTCTCACAAAGGTGAGCGATAGTGTATAGTAGCCCAAAAAAGTTAAAGGCTACCTATACTCTGCTACTGTTACTAGGAAGGGCCGCCTGAACCAGGAGCCGAAACGAATCAAACCGCTTACCTCCTGAAAGTATCAGTTCAAGCATATGGGAATGTCCGAAAATCAGGGATCCCTCATGTCGGGGTCCTTATCATGAGGATCCTACTATCTGGGGTGCTATATCAGAGTCCCCTATTTTCGGAAACCCCTATATTATGTAGGAACCTTATGAAGCAACACTGGCATTCTAACCCCAAGACTACGTAGGACGCATGAAAAGAACCCTTTAAAAGACCCCGGATTTCTCATTCGGGTTCCTATGTTCACTGAACATGTCCTCAACCCTTCAAAATAAACTCCACACTGAACCCTAAACCCTAAACCCTAAACCCTCTGAACCCTAAACCCTAAACCCTAAACCCTCTGAACCCTAAACCCTAAACCCCAAACACTGCCTCCAGGGAGGCCGTGAACTCCTAAAGAACGTGCGTGGCTAGAGTTCGGGGCTCAGGGGCGAGGGCGTGCGTCAAAGGTTCTCTCTCAAACCCTGCGTGACAGAAAGGGTTTAGGGTTTAGGG